CCCAACAAGTGAGCGGTGTATATGCTTTGTTAGTAACACAGTCTTATTCATGTTTTTCGAGGAACTGTTCATCACAGTGACTCTCTGATCCAACATTTCACTGGAAAAACCCGATTACAGAGGTCACGAGACTACAGGTAGCTTTTACCACCTCAGCCCCACATTTAATACAAGAAGCTATCAACATTAGGTTTATGTTGTTTTTAGACCCCCCCCACCCGGGCAAGGAAGGTGTATGCCAGGACCAGCCGACTTGTATGTGTATCATCAGGAGACGTTAGTGGCAGTGTGTAACCAGAGTTACACATTTCTATCGAGGTAAATACAGGACTATGCCAAAGGCTAAAGGGTATCGCTGGAATATTTTCAAAGGGATCAACACGATTCTGTGGAGAATTGTTTACGTCATGCTAAGACATTGCCCCCCCCCCCCACCCCACATCTCACAAATACTAAAGTGATAGACGAAGATTTCCCTTTGTGAAAATGACAACAACAGCCAGTTAACATGGAACACAATGAGACAAACGCTATACTAATCATATGATATCGTCTCATTCCTTATTATTGAATCCGCGGATATTAAGACGAACAGGCCAATAACTGATTGTTATACCAATGTCATCGCGTGGACATTAGGGTTTCATTTAAGCCAGTGGTCCTCAACCTTCCTTATGCCGCGACCCTTTAATAGAGCTCCTAATGTTGTGGCGACCGCCAGCCACAAATTATTTTCGTGTCTGCTCCATAACTGTAGAGCATATGTGCTTCAGTTGATCTTAGGCGACCCCTGGAAAAGGGTCGTGCGAGCTCCAAAGGGGTCGCGACCCACAGGTTGAGAACCGTTGATTTAAGCGATGATTATTATATAAACGTTTATTGAGTGGTAGTCTTATACGTGGCTTGAATGAACATTGTAACAGAAACAAGAAAACAAAATATTTATTAAAAAAATAAAAACAATTGAAAAATAAAAACGACTTGATTTGAGCTGATTTATCGTGTACTCAGGAAGATTGATAAACCTTGATTGACAAATGGACTCAACTTTTCAACACATATTCTCCTGGCAGAGGAAGGAAAAAAACAACAACATTTTTCAAAGTAGTTCCTACCACAAAGTTGATCAATGGGAAGGAAGAAAATGACCTTTTATTATCCAATTCTTAAGTTATTTATACAACATGTTTCTGTCAACGTCAAACCTTTTTACCACATGTTTCTGTCAACGTCAAACCGTTTTACCACATGTTTCTGTCAACGTCAAACCGTTTTACCACATGTTTCTGTCAACGTCAAACCTTTTTACCACATGTTTCTGTCAACGTCAAACCTTTTTACCACATGTTTCTGTCAACGTCAAACCTTTTTACCACATGTATCTGTCAACGTCAAACCTTTTTACCACATGTATCTGTCAACGTCAAACCTTTTTACCACATGTGTCTATCAACGTCAAATCTTTTTACCACATGTTTCTGTCAACGTCAAACCTTTTTACCACATGTGTCTATCAACGTCAAACCTTTTTACCACATGTTTCTGTCAACATCATACGTTTATACCCCATTTTTCTGTCAATATTAAGCTGTAAAATATAGTCTAGATTAAAACATTAAGTGCAGACGAAGAGAAATATTTTAAAAATCGTTGGAGCACCACTGATTAAACGAAAGAGCAATGGATTTAATTTCATTCCTAATGTTATCTTATTTTTTTAAAACGTTCGAAAAATAAAAAGAATAAAATCTCCATTGACGAAATCTAATCTGATCGGCATACTTGGTCCCATTTAAACTAGGTACAAACTCTAAACAACTCCCTCTTGCCGAACTCCAAACATACCTTCTTTTCTCTTCTTTTGTTGCGCCCGAGAAAAATGACACGTCTGGAATGGAAACAAAAGTCTGATCTTACAACACTACTTCCGGTGGAGCTGAACTCAAACCACTCACGGGTGCGTCATTCAACGCGTTAAATCGGTTGTCTCATCATACCCTGTTACGGTTGCCCCATTTTAAAAGAATTTAATTTACCCCTAGTTTACTTTTGGTAAGCGTTCTGAAAGGGTTAATTTCAGCTTGTATCAAAGTCAAGATCTCTGCGCACGCTAAGAGTAGCGTATTTCAGCTGGTATCAAAGTCAAGATCTCTACGCACGCTAAGAGTAGCGTATTTCAGCTGGTATCAAAGTCAAGATCTCTGCGCACGCTAAGAGTAGCGTATTTCAGCTTGTATCAAAGTCAAGATCTCTGCGCGCGCTAAGAGTAGCGTATTTCAGCTGGTATAAAAGTCAAGATCTCTGCGCACGCTAAGAATAGCGTATTTCAGCTGGTATCAAAGTAAAGATCTCTGCGCACGCTAAGAGTAGCGTATTTCAGCTGGTATCAAAGTCAAGATCTCTGCGCACGCTAAGAGTAGCGTATTTCAGCTTGTATCAAAGTCAAGATCTCTGCGCACGCTACGAGTAGCGTATTTCAGCTGGTATCAAAGTCAAGATCTCTGCGCACGCTAAGAGTAGCGTATTTCAGCTTGTATCAAAGTCAAGATCTCTGCGCGCGCTAAGAGTGGCTTATTTCAGCTTGTATCAAAGTCAAGATCTCTGCGCACGCTAAGAGTAGCGTATTTCAGCTTGTATCAAAGTCAAGATCTCTGCGCACGCTAAGAGTAGCGTATTTCAGCTTGTATCAAAGTCAAGATTATTTCAGCTTGTATCAAAGTCAAGATCTCTGCGCACGCTAAGAGTAGCGTATTTCAGCTTGTATCAAAGTCAAGATCTCTGCGCACGCTAAGAGTAGCGTATTTCAGCTTGTATCAAAGTCAAGATTTCTGCGCACGCTAAGAGTAGCGTATTTCAGCTTGTATCAAAGTCAAGATCTCTGCGCGCGCTAAGAGTAGCGTATTTCAGCTTGTATCAAAGTCAAGATCTCTGCGCACGCTAAGAGTAGCGTTTCTCTGTGACATCAACGCCGTCGGGCCAAGCGACTATTTTTTTTTACTGCAAATTTTTTCTGCACACATAATATAAAACATTCATATGGATATAGATTTTAGTTCAGGATACTTCTCCGATTGACATCATCTCAAGAACACAGCCGATAACATTGAACCAGAAAAAACAACAACAACAACAGAACAAGTGATCAGGAGAGAGAGAGAAGGGTGGGGGAGGATGGTTGGAGGGGGGGGGAGGAGATGTGATGAAACAGTAATCTTTAGACGAAGTTAACACGAAAAGAGGGAAACAGAAAATAGCACGGGAACACTTCAGTTGTGATGTAGGGACACACAATATTGTTTAAAACGCTTTCAAAGGGGATACACGACCAGTCAAAATATAATGATAAAAATAATGAAGTGCCCCAACCTCTAACTAGAGATCCACAATCAAATCAAAGTGTGTACACAAATTGCATAGCTTTCCTTTATTCCAGAAAATCAGCTTACTTATACAACCCCATCCCAAGAGGGTCTCATACTGAGAGTTAAAGGGACATGGATCATGGATATCAACGTACCAAATGTAAAAAAAAAAAGTGTCTAACAGACGAGAGTTATATATCAATAATAATATTACAAGTCATCATAGCATATTTGAGATCGAAGTGCCGGGTTCATGATCAGCTCATCATATCATATTTGAGACGGAAACGCCGGCTTTATGATTAACTCATGAAATCAAAATTCAAGACCGAAATATGCGTTCAACTCGTCATCCCATGCACACGGTTTGTTGATAAAACATAAATGGAATGTCGTTTATTTCTGAGAAGGCTGGGGACCAGTTGTAATTGTCGTGTGTTTTGTGGATTGCTTGTCCCCAGATAAAATCTTAACGCCATATCCAAATGGAATTCACACAGGTTTTGTTGGTGAAAAGAATGTGTTTGTTGTTGAAAAGAATGTATTTGATGTTGGAAAGAATGTTTTGAATAACGACTTAACCGGTTGTTGTTTTGTTTGTTTGTTTGCTTGTTTGTTTGTTTTTGTTGTTGTTCTGCCAGGCCGCCTTGATAAATACCATTTGTGTTACCTAGGACACGGGTCACGTGTTGGATACGAAAGAAAAAGAAACAACTAACGTCTGGAGTGTGTTTACTTGGGATAAAGATAAGAACGAAAAGAGAGAGGAGAGATAGAGACAGAGAGAGAGAGAGGTAAGGTGGAGAGAAAGAGAAATGGAGAGAGGGAAGACATAGAGGAAAGAGATAGAGAGATGACAGTGTGAGAGAGAGAAATGGAGAGATGCAAAACATAGAGGGGGAAGATAGCGATAGAGAAATGAGGGGGAGAGAGAGAAATGGAGAGAGAGGTAAGACAAAGAGGAAAGAGATAGAGATATAGACAGATGAGGGGGAGAGAGAGAAATAGAGAGAGGGAAGACATATAGGAGAGACAGAGATGAGGGGTAAAGAGAGAAATGGAGAGAAGGAAGATATATAGGAGATATATAGAGATAGAGAGAGAGATGAGGGGTAAAGAGAGAAATAGAGAGAGGGAAGACATAGAGGAGAGAAATAGAGATAGAGAGAGAGACAAGAATTACTTGCTGTACAGGCAACAGTCTCCTTCACATAATTTATGTATGGCGTAATTCGAGTATACTCTAGTGGCTGTTGCACTGAATTTGTGAGGATGAAATACAGGGCAAATTTATATAACAAGGGAAATGAATAAACTTGCATTTAGTGGGACGTCCTTCACTGAATGGAAAAAAAACATATTTAGAGATTTAGATCTTAAAACTTAAAACTTTCCATTAATCAAGTAAGTTATTTGTAATTGGAGATAGCGATTTCTCATGTTTCCCCACATACTACTTGATCACACAATAGATACGATAATCAAGAACTCACAGCTCATGCAATGCCCCTGTTCATGCACTAACCCCCCCCCCCCCCCCCCCAACTACCAATTTCTCCACACCCATAGCGTCCCTGACACTGCTGGAAGGACATTGACAGATGGACACAACATAGACACAATCCTAATCAAGATTAATTACCTGCAAGTTTTCAGTTTCAGGGCGCCTACAAAGACGCACGTGCCGCCATTCATACAGTAATACCGGTCCTGGTACTCACACGGCATCACGTGGCCGTAGGTGATTGACAGGCGTGCGCGCATCTTTCGTCTGAACTGATTCATGTAATCATCGGCGTTTCTCCTGCTCCGGCTGAGGTAGGGCTTAGAGTCTAGATAGCTGGAGAGATTCTGCCAGAATTCTCGGTCCGTCGGTACAGATCCGGTGAGGACGGCTTTTAAAACAGCGGCCGGGACGTCCTGGTCCTTACGATAGGACATTTTGTGCAGGACGTCATCGGTTTCGTCGTCGTCATCAAACCCGTTGAGGTATTGGTCTGAGGTGGCTGATGGCGAGCTCCGTGGGCCCGTGTCGTCACGAGCGTAAAAGCTCGTCCCCGTTTGAGAATCACTGACGAGATCCCCACCGTCGTAATCGCGCAGCCACCGTCTCTTCTTCAACCTGTCCTCCATTTTCTGCACGGTCCCGTGAATCAGTGACTTCAGGGAGGTCGGGTCGTGGAACCCCAGCCCCCTGTCCCCTGCAACGGGTGAAATGTCAGCTACATCATCTGACCCGGAGCTGTCGGGGTAGGAGTGCTGGCTTGTATCCCGTGCGTCTGCACCGTCAATGTGAAAATGGACTGAACCTGATGGTCCCTGGTCGTGTAACGTGTTCTGGCGTGCGAAGCGTTCGCTCATTGCGTACAGAGTAGGCAATGCGGTGTTTGAGTCCCCACGAGTCGTCGCCTCTGCAGCTACACGAACGCTCGTCGCATCACCGTTGCGCTTTGAAGTGTCCAAAAGTTGCATCGCGACCATCGGGTCTCTTTGTTTATCACTGACCCGCTCCATGTCGTTAAAATCCTCCTGGTCGTGTTCACCAAGATCAAAGGCAAAGCTATCCGTCCCTCGCTTATAACTATCCACTGCAGGTGTCCGCCGAAACTGTTTCCGTCGAATTCTCTGGACTCTCTCCTCTGCAGAAAGAATTAAGTCTATGCGCGCCACAACCTGAAAGGGCAGCTCCGACCCTGCAGGCTCCACGCTCTCATAAGGTATTTCAACATTTGGGGTGTAGCCAACTTGATGTAAGTTATACATTTCCGTAAGTTTTTTTAAAATATACTGTTCGCTAACCTCATTGAGCGGCACGGGTGGCTGCGCAGCTTTCTTACTTGATTGACTACTGAGGTAAGGTTTGTGGTCTAGTGTCTTGGTGTCCACCCCAAGGTGTTGGTTGACCATTGCTAGATTTTCAAGGAGTCGTTCAATTTTTATTAAGCGTCGGTCTATTTCGCTCTGACCGTTCCGATGACCACCGGTCAGCTCCGATCTCATGTCTACGTCATACTGCACCGAAACTATGGGCTCCCCTTCTGTGACGCTGGAATCGTACGTCATGGCTCCCAGGCGACCAGCAATGTCCAGTGCCCTTGCAGCGCGTTCGCGGGGAGGCGACTCCCCAAGGCAACCGGTCAAGCTGAAGGCCCACACCAGGAGAGTGGCAAGAATCATACGGCCTAGAGAGTGAGAAGTTAGCACAGCTGATGGGGAGCCCATGGTAGCCGTGTCCACATTTTGAGCGCTGCGCTTTCGGCTCAGTATATCACCAGTGCCATGGACATGCGCACAGAGGCCTACACAGACGGGCATCAAACACTTCGTGTGCCCGGGCCCTCAACTCACAGTGCCCCGACACCTTAGGCCGGTGTTTTCCGTGGAGGTGCGTCCGGTGGGGAGCCTCGTCAACCCAGCAGCGGTTGTTGTCTTACATAACATACGGCGGATGGTGGCTGTCGGCGCGGCGCGACGCTGCGGACTGGTGAGTGTCACAAGTCGTGGGAAGGCCAGGAAATCCGTCAATGGTCGTCCACCGATCGTTAGACCCGGCGGGAAAAGCGGGGGAGTCTGACCGCGTGGGACGACTGGCGATCGAGCCAAGTGAGGAGTGGCTACTTGTTATCCAGACGCCGTTGCTGTGATTGTCAACCATAATCGTCCTCAGAGCTTAAGTGGGCCTGCACGCGTATGATGGAGTCTCACAGTTTCAGGAAAAAAACATATCCAATATCATATTTTTAAACTGTCGTGAATAGCTGTTTTATGTCTTGAAAGAATGGCGTTGTAATATCCTCTTACCATAACTGGCAAAGCATACATGTGTAAAACAATTCTATTTCGGTTTATGCACTGGTACTTAAAGAAAAGGATTGAAATAAAAAAATGCAACAAAAAAAAAAAAAAAAAAAAAAAAAAAAAAAAAAAAAAAAAGATAAAAAAAAAAAAAAAAAAAAAAAAAAAAAAAAAAAAAAAGAAGAACAAACTCTCAGTCCTACTTTTCTTTGAAAAACAGCCTAAATTTCAAACTAAAAAATTCTAAAACATTATTTAAACGCTCCTTTAAAAAAAAAATTTAAAAAAATAATAATGAGCGCATAAGTTGGTTTAACCACATTATCTGGAAATGTCACAAGCAGAAATCTGGGTGAAAACCTCGCAGACGGTACCATCTGACTTAAGCTCGCAAAATGAAATCCAATCTTTATCTCTTAGAAAGCTCCCAGAAATTCCAGAAAGATTGGGGGTTTTAAGACACTGCAACGGTACGGAGCGCTCGAAACACAGTATCCACTTCTAATGATGTGTCACTCATCTTATTTTTTTTAAGGAAAAAAAAAATAATTTGAAAATAGAACTCCATATAATTGGGATCATTTTGTAAGTTGTACAACTCGTTCGCACAAAAAGTCACGACAAAAAGCCGCGTAGCTGATATTTAATTCATAAAATTCTTTCGGTTTCTTTTCTTTTTCCTGGAATCTTAATTTTTAAAAAATTTATACAAAAAAAAAAAAATTATTTGCCGATATTCATTTTAAAAAAAAAGTTACGGGAAACTAACTTGATATAAAAAAAAAACGTTTATGAAAAATTACCTCAAAGTTATTTGTGTTTCCAAGAAAAGGCTCAAATTTTCTTTTCGCTTTTACCACGAAGGAAAGAGCAACAAGAAATAAAGCATAATGATCAAACGTGTTTTACTAGCACCTGTCTAACAGTTACACCGTATTTAATCCTTGCTCAAGAACACAACATTGCCTACAACAGAGTCAAATCAGTTGTTGTTGTTGTTTTCCCCCCTCCTCTGCTCTGGCAGTTTTGCAGATTGCGGCAATTGTACGAATGCACTCATCAACTGTTGTACACCAAGTGATCGGTAAGTCCAGTGCACTAATCAACTCTATACACCAAGTGATCGGTAGGTCCAGTGCACTAATCAACTCTATACACCAAGTGATCGGTAGGTCCAGCTGTGAGGCACGGCGTGAAAGTTTTCCCTGCCTGAGACGAGCGCTCAAACTCTGGGCCTGCGCTTACACCCGAGCGCTACCCCAGCCCGGTCGCGTGCATGGCGCGTGAGGTACAGTTGTGGGGGGATTACCTACCACCACTACCATCAGCGCTTTCTTCCGTTTCCACTTGCGGGGAGGGGAAATAGTTCAGGGATTTTATTTTTTTTTTGTGGNTATTTAATTTCCAGTCAGTTGTTGTTTAAACTAATAGTATGTGTTTGTGGAGGGTGTGGCAAAGTGGGGGGGGGGGTGCAAACAAAATAAAAACTGCCCATCTGGCTGACTTCAAGTCAAGAGTTGTCCCTATCCCATGTCCCTATCCGATGTCCCTATACCATGTCCCTATCCCATGTCCCTATACCATGTCCCTATCCCATGTCCCTATACCATGCCCATATCCCATGTCCCTAACCCATGTCTCTAGCGCATGCCACTAACCCATGTCCCTAATTCATATCCATATCCCATGTCTCAACTAATGTCTCTACCACATTAGCCTAACCCATGTCCCCAAACCAAGTCACAATCCATGGCCCAGCCCATGTCCCTAAGCCATGTCTCAACTAATGTCTCTTCCACATTTCCCAAACCCATATCCCTAACCAATATCAACATCCCATGTCCCAACTAGATCCCAACCGAATTTCGGCTTCGGCTTTGGTTTCGGCGCCGAAAGTGGCCATTTTATCACTTTCGGCCAAGTTTCGGTTTTGGCCGAAACTGAAAGTTAACTTTCGGCTTAATTTCGGTTTCGGCCGAAAGAAAGAAGTTAACTTTCGGTTATTTTTCGGTTTCAGCCAAAATTGACTTAGACTTTCGGCTATCCAGCCGAAAGTGACTGACGTTTTCGTTCATTCGATTCTCAGCAAAAGCGATATTTAACAACAAACTAAGCGACATTTAAGAACAAACTAAACGATCTTTAAAAACAAACTAAACGATCTTTAAAATTAAATAAAGTGATCTTTAAAAACAAATAGAGCGATCTTTAATTAAAAAAACAACTAAACAATCATAAAGAACAAACTAAGTGATTTTTGAGAACGAACTAATTGATCTTTAAGAACAAAACAAATGATCTTTAATAGTAAACTAAATGATTCATAAGAATAAACTAAGCGATCTTTAGCAGATAACTAAATGTTCTTTAGGAACAAACTAAAACATCTTTAAGAACAAACTAATCGATCTTAAGGAACAAAATCAATTATCTATCAGAACAAACTATGCGATCTTTATGAAAAAAACTAAGCGATCTTCAACAACAAGATAAGCAATCTTCAAGAACAAACTAAACGATTTTTAATAACAAACTAAAAAATCTATACAAACAAACTAAATGATCTTTAAGAACAAACTGAATGATCTTTAAGAACAACTAGGCGATATTTAAGAACAAAATCAATGATCTTTTAGAACAAACTTAGGCATCTTTATGAACAAACTAAACGATCTTTTAATTACACAAACTTAGCGATCTTTAAGAAAAAACTTAGCGATCTTTTTTAAACAAACTAAATGATCTTTAATAAAAAAACTAAAAGATCTTTAAAAACAAAATAAGCGATCTTTAAGAAAACTCTAAGCGATCTTAAAAAACACAATGAACGATTTTGAACAACAAACTAAGCGATCTTTATGAACAAACTAACCGATCTTTAAGAGCAAATAAAGCGATCATTAACAAAAAACTGAACGATCTTTAAGAACATTCTGAACGATCTTTAACAACAAGATGTTATATTAGATGTTTGTTAATTAATATTCACGATTATCTCATTTTTTAATAAAAAGAATGTAAATTTTTATACTTTCACCCATCATTTTCGATGTATGCAGAATGTATGCGGGAACGCATTTCAAAATATCTAAATATTTCGGTTTCGGCTTCGGCCAAAAGTCATTTTTAACTTTCGGTATTTTTTTGGTTTTGACCGAAAGTCATTTTTAAACTTTCGGCATTTTTTGGTTTCGGCCGAAAGTCATTTTAAACTTTCGGCCTATTTTCGGCTTCGGCCGAAATCGGAAAATCCCTTTCGGTCGGTCTCTAGTCCCAACTAATGTTCCTAACCCATGTCCCTATCCCATGTCCTAATCCATGCCCCTAACCATGCCCCTAACCATGCCCCTAACCATGCCCCTAACCATGCCCCTAACTCATGCCCCCAACCCTGACCCATCTAATGTCATCAACATTTAACATAACCGAAAGCCATACAAAAAAAGCCAGGTTTATGAAACAGTTAACAAAAAAAAACACTCGCAGAAAAGTTGACCGCCCGCTCTGACCTTTCCATTGTTGACGCAATACGTTGGACCGATTTCCCAGTTTGATCCGATGATTATTTCTTTGCATGTCAACCTTGTCACCAAACAAGATGTTCAATCAGTGGAGAGCCCAATCGGGAACGCAGTGCTATGTATCTGATAGAGATAACAGATCTTACCAAAGTATAGAGAGCGTGTCAAAGGAGTGGGTGGGAGAAGCCATTATACACGGCTACAGGATTTACCGTCAATAACGTATACTTTAAAAAAAAAAAAAAAAAATTAGATGTTACACCATTGTTTCTTTTCACTGGCGTAAATTCGTATAGGAGTAAGTTTCGTCGGCCCGGAAGGAAAACGTTTCGACTCACTGACTCATATGACAACCGAAACATGAATTATCGATGTTTCTGCTTGTCAAATCTGTGTTACCCTTCATAACATTATCAATTAAATAAACGTTCAATGTATCAACGTGTCCAAACCATCAACATGTTGTGTCATCAGTTGTTAAGAAGATTTGATATGTTACAACTATGGCCTGGTTCGCGGCGCTTCATACAGTAGTTGCTGCTCCAGTTTTGTTTATAAATGTCTACAGCTCTGGTATCCCAGCTTTTTTCTGACAACGTCGACTCATTTATTTTTTTCTGACTGAGCTCTCTTCGCAATTAATATGACCTTTAAAAAAAAACAAAAAACTATAGATTTACTGGACAACTGATAAATGAGGCCTCCGTGACCTGAAATGACCTTTACATGCCAGCCTCCAAGATAGCTTTGTGATCCCGAAAATACCTGTATGTGTCATGGAAGTAGCTCTAAGGGTCATGGAAGTAGCTCTAAGGGTCATGGAAATAGCTCTATGGGTCATGAAATATAGCTCTATGGGCCATGAAAATAGCTCTTTGGGCCATGACAATAGATCTATGGGTCATGAAAATAGTTATATGGGCCATGAAAATAGCTCTATGGGTCATGAAAATAGCTCTATAGGTCATCAAAATAGATCTATGGGCCATGAAAATAGATCCATGAGCCATGAAAATAGCTCTAGAGTTAACTGAGCTATAAGTATTTTAAAATATTATCAATCATTCATTTCAAGTGTGGGTTTATAAAAACTTTATTTACGGCGACATCTTAAGCGTGGGGCCTTGGTAGGTCTTGGTAGGTCTTGGTAGGTCTTGGTAGGTCTTGGTAGGTCTTGGTAGGTCTAGGTAGGTCTTGGTAGGTCTTGATAGGTCTTGGTAGGTCTTGGTAGGTCTTGGTAGGTCTTGGTAGGTCTTGGTAGGTCTTGGTAGGTCTAGGTAGGTCTTGGTAGATCTTGGTAGGTCTAGGTAGGTCTTGGTAGGTCTTGATTGTCTGGGTAGGTCTTGGTAGGGCTTGGTAGGTCTTGGTAGGTCTAGGTAGGCCTTTGTAGGTCGTGGTAGGCCTAGGTAGGCCTAAGTAGGGCTTGGTAGGTCTGGTGAGCCTAGTTAGGTCTAGGTAGGTATTGGTAGGCCTAGATAGGTCTTGGCAGATCTTGGTAGGTCTAGGTATGTCTTGGTAGGCCTAGGTAGATCTTGGAATAAATCATTTTTCAAAAATTTGAGCCTAAGAAAAGAAAAAAAAATTAATCAAAATAATTTAATATAGGTATCGCAGGGCGATGGTTAAATAACTTCAATAATAACACAGGATATCCATTAATATAAATGTGTTCACTTCTGTTTTCATACATTTTCTTTACTATACTGTCGTCACAATTAGCATACACTCAAAAACATGACCCGACGTCTTAATATGGCTGTCTACGCTCGTCCGTCATAGCTCTACAGTTGTTGCGTCTCAATTGATTCCATCCAACATCAAAATAACACACACTAAGTTATACTGCTACAGGCCCCATCTCTATACACAAATTTTGGGCCATTTTTTCTTCTTTACAACCATCGTGGGGGGGGTGGGGGGTGTTATTGAAGAGTTTAATCTTCTAATTTTATTTGTGCTCAAAAGATGGTTCAGTTCTTTCTGTACTCCTTCTCTACTTTCTCACTTTTAATAATAAAGATACTTTTTTTTTTTTTAAAGATTTAATTTTTTTAAAGTCTGGTTTCTAATTTTAATGTTTTCATCCTTCTGTTCTTCTCTTATCATAGTCGGGCATTTTGTGTCTTGGTTGATAACTGTCAGTCTTTCTTGTAGTGATGCGTCTTCTAATTCAATAAAGGCTTTGAACACGTCCCTACTACTTCTCCCTAGCTGTGCTATGTTATCAACATTTGCAAGATACTGAAGGGGCTGGTTGCTATGTCATCAGGCTATACAAAATACTGAAGGGGCTGGTTGCCATTTGATCAGCATATGCAAGATACTGAAGGGGCTGGTTGCCATGTCATAAGCACATGCAAGATACTGAAGGGGTTGGTTGCTGTCATCAGCATATGCAAGATACTGAAGGGGCTGGTTGCTATTTCATCAGCACATGCAATATACTGAAGGGACTGGTTGCTGTCGTCAGCATATACAAGATACCGAAGGGGCTGGTTTCTATGTCATCAGCACATGCAAGATACCGAAGAGGTTGGTTGCTGTCATAAGCATATGCAAGATACTGAAAGGGCTGGTTGCAGAGAGTGCCTGTTGGTTGTCTATTGGTCGTGGGTTTTGGGTTCCCCTCATGTTTATTCATTACGATTTATTATGTACATCACTTACTTATCACCTGCAACATTTACTTCATTTAATAGTTTATGCACTGAGTGTTATGACACGCTG